CAATAGAAAAGTGTAATTACAATATGCGGGTCTCTGTGTGTCTATTCCAGCTCCGTGTGCGTTATCAGACTAGACCGCGGACAGAGATGGAGCGCCGGATAAGGCTAGGCACAGCGGACAGGGGACAGATGGGATTTATGCTAACGTGGCTGTGGGTAGGAAGAGGATTTCTTGTAGCCTTTGTAAAGACACATGCCATTACAGCTGAGTCCTCCCTGACAGCGCTGCTTTCTTCTCCCTCCTCCTGTTTACCTTTGTCTCAGGCTCGGACCGGCCTCTAATCCTAAGCGACGTTTTCCATTTGGTTTACACCTTTTCGGTCTTAAGATCTATACCTGTCCTTTTACTGTCTTTGCTGGAGGTGTGCAGTGAATGTAACCGTGAAATGAAACAAGGAGGTTTTTGGACCACTTTGTGTCAGATGCCCTTCCAGAGAAACGGTCACCAGTGTAGGTATGGCAGGTGTGAAGTGTCTCACACAAGTACATAATAGCAGTTTAGAATAATACAGTGAGTTGTGTAATTACTGTAGAGCTGTATTGAAAATCAGATACTAATCAAAACTAAAACTATCCTTAAAACTAGATACTGAGCAGATATCAGTAGAAAAGAATTCAGATGACAGAAATGAACCTTTCCTGAACAGCTTTACAATGATCTTGAGCTGTATCAGAAGAAGTATAAGAGTACACAGACTAGTATATGCCCTTTGACCTCTACTCAACATACCTGCATGACTGAAGGATTCCAGGGAGGGAGAGGAAGGACGCATGGTAATATGAAAAAGAAAGTATGTCTTGTGAAAACACTAAGTTTTTGTATTGTATTGTACAGTTTACAATTACTACATTGCATTTACATTATTGTGGTCATACCAGTTTGTCACAGCCTGATTCAACAGACCTCGGAAGCAAAGCAAGGCTGGGGAAATCAGGTGCCACAGGGAGGCACCAGTCGCAAAAACTGCAGTTGTGTCCATAGGCAAGGCACTTCACCCACATGTATGAGAGTTGTGTGGGCATGAGTGATGGTGGAGGTCGGATCGGTCAATGGCTCGGGCTGCTCGATAATGGAAAAAAAAAAAAAAATCATGATTATTTTGGTCAATATTGAAATCACGATCATATTTTAGTTACATGATGCGTTTATTCAGCATTTCTCCCTCTCTCAAAAAAATTTCAAATTGAAAATAAATATAGGCTACAAAGATGTACCTTAAAGCAGTTTTGTGATGTATAAAACATGAAACGAATAAAATATACTTTGAACATGAAATAAGGCATAGAAAACATAAATGTATCCAAAATAAACTATATATCCAGCTGTTCTACAATCTATATATTTAAAAAATAAAATAAACATACTTATTTATATATATATAAAAAAAAATCTACTTTGTTAAGCTTTAAATCATTTCAACTCGATAATGAGTTTGGAGATTGTTTGACACGCACATCCAAATCTAGATCAAAATTCGATTAATTGCACAACCTTACCAATGGTGCAGATTGGCAGCCTTGCTTCCGTCCTTCTGTCCCAGGGCAGCTGTGGCTATAATAGTAGTTTACCACCACCAGGTATGGAGTGAGTGAATAATGATCTGTAAAGCGTCTTATAAAACTGGTGCATTATTATTATTAATTTCTTGACAGCAATAAAAAACAATATTGTTACATACACAAAAGCTGCAAATGGACAAGGTTATGTGAAACAATGAACTTTTGTTGATAAATGATTTTATTTTTGAATAAATACAATGCTTTGTTGACACTAAAAGAAAGGCTACTGTCATAAAATTACCCATGAAGCACACAGTATCTGAATAACTACAGGCTATGGAAATATAACTGCTTTTACTTCAGCTTAGTCACTCACCAAACTATTGAAAAATCATAGTCTTTTGTTCCAGGTATGGTAACCTATGATTTTCCTTTTCCCTTTTTAGAGCGGCCAATAGCAGCTATAGCATAACTCTAGATACACACAGTGTTTGTTTCCTGGGTAACTATCACTTTATAACTACACCTTAATTAGCCCAAAGAAAGGCTTGGCTTGGTAACTACTTAATTAAAGAGTTAGGGTATTAATTAAGTAGTTACTAAGCCTGAATCATTCTTGATAAACTATGTGTGTGGTATACACTTAGTAATCATACACTGTGTTCTGATCTTTCTTCATCTCAAGCATATGTGCAGTTGTGTTTTGTTTCATTCATACATATTTAACACACAGACCCTGCATATTTAGTTTTTCTCTCAAACCAAAAACACTCCGTTACACCCTGGCCTGGGATATCATGTGGTAATACAGGAAATGCAAATGAAAGAGCAAACGCACACCGAGGTTCTTGTAGAGCTGCAAATGCAAGGAACAGCAAAATAAAAGTGAAAAAATGCAGAGCACGCTCAGAAGGCTGATGTCCAAAAGCTTTTTTAATTTTTTATTTATTTTTAAGTAACGTTTTGGCAAAAAAGCCTTCGTCACATATTTTTTCTTGCTTTGGACCACAGAATAATAGTATAAGGTATACTGTGGTCCAAAGCAGTAGAAAAGTATTACAGTATAAGATATTCTGTGTTCAAAAGCCATATTGCAGTATTACAGTATAAGGTATACTGTGGTCCAAGCAGTACTACAGTGTAAAGTAGTCTCTGGTCTAAAGCAGTATAAAAGTATTACAGTATAAGGTATACTGTGGTCCAAAGCAAGAAAAAAATTATCAGACGAAGGCTTTTTTGCCGAAACGTTATTTAAAAATATTTTTTTTAAAGCTTTTGGACATTGACTATCTGAGTGTGCTATGCAATACAGGAAATGCTCCACACATATTTTAAACTCCAAACATCTTCACTAGAATCATCTGCATGAATTCTGCCCTGGAATTGCCACTCTCTACTGAACAAAATGTAAAAGGAGCTGTTCACTTGAACACTACTGCTTCGTGACATCACAAGGTGGAACAGAGCATTTTGAGCTTTGGAGATGTAGACGGACTAATAATAACTGATTACTTGAACATATGTAAGGAGGTAACAATATTCTAACATGACTAAAAGCTCACAGGAGTCAATTTAGTGTAATACAGGGCCTTTAATTAAAGCTGTACACAGTGTAGTTTTTTTTTTTTTTTTTTTTTTTCATGTCATTCACAATCTTTTCACCTGCTCAGCCTGGAGGGGAAAAAAATGCATCAACATCCGTCCTACCATCACACAGACTCTGGTCCCATTTGTCAGCCCCTCTCCCCGTGTTTTTCATGGGCTGATGCGGTGCGCTGTGCTCCCTTGTTCACCAGGCCTGGCTGTCAGAGAGAAGGATTTTTCAGTTTCTCTCTGTGACAGAATCAAGTGCTTCCATTTCGCCGGTGAAGGTGTAGCTGCAGAAAAGACTTAGATGTCCACGGGCTAAAGGGATGGAGGGATGTGGTGTTTAGGAACAGGTGGTGCCAGGACTGCAGGGGCCTGAGGGTGAAAGAGGGGTTAAAATGGGGGGAAACTGGGTGGCTGTTGTTGTTCCATGTGACCTGTGTTTTCTGTGCTGGAAACAAAGGGGGAGTTCTGTATTGCTCACACTGCACCAGTCTATTGTATGGACAGAATATTGGTGCATGTGTTTGTTGTGTATTTTATTTATTTTATTTTTTTGACAGTTAGAATACATTCAGTATATTTCCTTACAGTAGCAATGTTGCACTACTATTACAATAAACTGAAATGTGGGTTCATAACATTGTATGATTTTTTAAATTTTATTAGTAACTTTTAGAGATGTAATAATAACCGAAATATTTTGATATTGTCTCATCTAAGGTCATTACAATATATTGAATTACAAGTCTCTTCGCTTAAATTAAGAGTTATGGTGCGACAAAAGGTAAAAAAATAGATGGAACTACATTGACCATGATGCTTCGTTTCAGTGCCGACTACATGAAGAAATAACAGTCCTAAACACTTTTAAATCTTAGTTCTTAGGGTTAAGACTTGTCAAGTTGTTTTAAGATGAAAATGTAGCATATTTAGAGTTTTGTTAGAGTCTCCACAAAATATTACAATAAATATCGTACCGAGAGATGTGGACATCATTACATCCCTAGAAACTTGGCAATGTAAAAAGACATATAAAGTAACATTTTTTTGTCTGTACCAGAGGTGGGGTGCAAGTTGTGACTTGGATTCGAGTCAGACTTGAGTCACTATTTTTAAGACTTGGACTTGAGCCCTGTGAATAGAAAAGACTTGATGCTTCTCCTAAATATATATATATATATATGTTTTTTGAAAATACTTGATGATCCTTACAATTCAGTGCAGACTATATGACAAAATAACTGTTATTATGTACTTTTAAATCTTAATTCTTTCTCTTCTGACCATAATGATTCACACAAAGATCTTGTCAATACGTTTAAAAAGGAAAAATGTGCTTTTTTAAGTACAATTTAGCTTAAAATTCATATAAATTGCAAAAGACTCGAAATGATTTTAAGCTCAAAGCAGACGACTTGGACTTGACTTGGACTTATGAGCCAGTGACTCAAGACTCAACTTGGACTTGCCTGTCTTTGACTTGGGACTTGACTCGGACTTGAGGTCAAAGACTTGAGACTTACTTGAGACTTGCAAAACAACAATTTAGTCCCAGCGCTGGTCTGTACTATTGTGGCACAATGGAATACATTTCAGGAATTTAGAATTATGTACGACTGCTGCCATAGCAATTAACAAATGAAAACAAAACTTTATATGGAAGTCCTCCGAATGTTGAATATAACAGGAAGCTGAAAAAGCTGTTTTTCATCTGGCTTTAATATAATAAACTAAACAATTTTAGATACAGTAATTTAGTATTTTACACATTTGCCAGTTTTAATGTGTGATATGTCAAAGAAATCAAATTCCTTACATCTTTTATTATCTTAACCGTTTCTCCATTTTATCGCGTATATATTTTTGTTGGTTTATACAGCATTTAAAATCTGAATCTCTCTCTCTCCACAGCAAAGAAAACCTGCGCGACTACTGACTTCGCCTGTAAGAACGGCCAGTGCGTGCCCGCTAGGTGGCGCTGTGACGGGGAGTCGGAGTGTGTCGACGGATCAGATGAGGCTGACGCAATCTGCAGTAAGTTTTTATGCAAACCAGTCCTGGCAACACGGTGAAAAACACATAATTACGCCCAATATACTTGTATGAAGCCTGTCTATTTGAATGAATGTGTGTCGCTCCGTCTCTGTCAGAGGAGTCAGAAAATATAGCGTATGCATCTGTGTGTGTCAGAGTGGTAAAGAACTGTCAAGGTCTATAAGGTTCTCTGCTCAAAGCAACATGTCTACTGAACAGTGGCCCTGGAAATGGACGCTTGTTTCTTGCTTTTCTTGGCTGCTCCACATGACCTCGGAGCATGGTGTGTTCAAGGCCAGTGGGACAAGATGTTTTTTGTGGTAAAGATAAAGCAGAGGCAGCTATACAGGGACTTAACGCCTCTCGCTTAGACACAGAATATATAGAGTAGTAGGGCTAAATATGAATCTCGTTTGAATGAAAATCGTAATTTGAGCGGATGCAATTAGCAAATCAGAAAGGTTGACATTTTGAAAGTAGCATCATTTCTTACATAAATAACAAAGTATCCTGTCTTAATCTGCTTTTGGTTGGGGGGTCCATCACCTGCTTGTTTCTATGGATATGTCATTGCTCTGCCTGGAATGTTCCACAGTGTGACTTTAAGCAGCTCTACTTTACATTTTCTCAATTACAGGTGGTTTTACAGCTCAAAAAGACCTAGAAAAAATGAGCATTGTGACTGCGAGTGGGGTTGCCTCTCCGCAGATCTGACCTGTAACTTGGTCTGGTTTGATCTCCACGAAGATAGAAAGATTTAATGCCATACTGTGAAACATTTCAGACAAAGCAGTCACATCTCCCCGGAGAAGAACATTTGATGAACCCTTCACCAGAAAAGCTGAAAAAATATTCTTGTATTAATTTGTCAGTTCATATTTTTCATTTTTGTTTTTATCAAACTTTAGAGTCCTAGTAAATACAATCTGTGTCCATATGGATTTATTAACTTTTCAAATCTAGAAAATTAGTAAATTGTCACATTTTTATATAGGAATTTTAAAGGATGTAACAATATCTAAAACTCATGGTACGATATTTATTGCGATCTTTTGGAGAACCTAATAGTTGTGTGGGTAGAATACTTCTTGCTTTTTAAAAACCTTGAAAAGACTTTGATGCGAATCATTACTGTAATCTATAATCTCAAGAATTCAAGTAAAAAACATATTTCTTTGTTGTCCGTGCTGAAATGAATCATGGGATATGTAGTTCCATATGTTTTTTTAACTGTTGCTACTATAAAACAAGGCATTTACACAAAGGAACTTGTAATTCGATATATTGTGACAGCCCACGATTTTTGACAATATGATATCACGATATTTCGGTTATTGTTACACCCCTAGATCTACTATACCCCAAGGAACTACTCACCTATTTACATTCATACTGCAGGCTACGTAAATACTAGGGTGAGGTGAGTTCAGTGTCACCAAAAAGCTTAAGTAAATAAATAGTTTGTGGACAGCTAAAGCTACAGCAGTACACTTTTAATAATGAAAATGTGGTTACCAGACTGTAGACCAGAACAGCCCTGTTTGTTTGTGTAATTAAGAAAGGGAACAGAGCCCATTGTGAATACTCTAATATTTAATCAAATCTAAGTCTTGTATCAGGTTAGCAAAGGCTTGTCATTATGGGAAATCTAGAGTTATAATGGATCAGACAGAGAGAATTCATTATCTATATTGTATTAATTATACACGCAAGTTACAGTATTTCTCAACACATTTGTTCATGTTGTGTGTAGTGGACCAAAAAGTAAGGCAAAGGCAAGGTATGAAAATAAGTTTAAATTTAATAAAGTCAAACAAGAAATAATTTAACAAAGGCTCAAATTAAGTAAATCAGGAACAAAAAAAGGCCGGGTAACTCAAATCAAACTGAACGGAACCAAACTAACCCAACCAGACAAAGGAACAGAGGTGTTTAAATACTTGAGGACCAACTAAAACTGAACACAAGAGGGAGGAATTACACGAAATAATTAACTAAAACTAATAACTTAATCAAAGTAACAAAAAAGCGTATAATAGAGAAAATAATAAGTGATAATTAAATGACCTTAGAGCAAACTAAACAAACTAACTTAGTAAAATTAACTAGATAGTGCTCCCCCCTTTGTTGATTCATTGATGGTCTCTCCCGAAGGTCCTCATTCAGCACTCAAAAAAAACCCAAAAACAACAAGTGTAAGTAAGTAATTCAGACTTATATTAACTAAAATGTATGCACCCAAATTAGAATATAAGGAATTAAATTGTGTGTGATGTAATTAACTTGTAATGTAAATGAAATGAAATGAAATAACACTGACACTGTGGAGTGGTGGCAGAGGTATCACCACATTAAGCATAAGCAAGTATTCTGATTTGGGAAGGATGAGCACCCTGCTTTTCTCCCCTGTTGCATGACATGACACCTGACATGAGACGATTATGTTCATGGCAAGCAGGAAAGGAAATAATTCATATTTCTTCTCAAACCAACAGTTAGAGATACTATAGGACATGGGGAACAAGAAAAAAAAATAATTTAGAATAGCTTTCATAGTAAACTTCTGCGAACAAATGAGGATTATAATGAATAATACATACTGAAAAAATGTGTGCTGCTTCAGGAATATCGGTAAAATGACATAAACAAGGCCCGACATTTGGTCTGGCTTAGGGATGTAATGATACCCAATTCTCTTGATACGATATTTTCACGACATGCATCATGGTATGATATTTACTGCGATATTTTATGTAGGCTAACAAAATTGTGTATATGCTACATTTCTCTCCTCATAATTCAAATAATTAAGATTTAAAAATGATTAATAGCCATTATTTCAACATGTATATTGGACTGAAACTGTGCAAAGGATCATGGTCTATGTAGTTCCCTCTGTGTTTTAGCCATTGCTGCACCATAACAATGAATTTAAGCAAATAAACTTGTGATTCGATATATTGTGATGGTCCACAATATTATTGTAAGACTTCTGACGATACAATATCACAAAATTTTGGTTATTGTTACATCCCTAGTCTGGCTACATTCACATTTCATTTTATTAGGATATAGAATGCTGATTTTTTAACTCAATACATCATAGTGCGTGATTTGGGTTATTAAAGGTCTGCGAAAACCTCCCCTCCCGCAGTTACCCGTTTACTACTCAAGAGAAGGGGGCGTCTGGAAGGAGGAGGTTGACGTTCCCATGGAGAGAACGGGACGCTCGAGCTGGGACTTTCAAGCCAGGGGGAAGCTCGAGCCCATATTCGAATTATAAACGATCTGTATCGAGATCGGCCATGAAAAAGCCATAGTAGTCGATCTCTGGACACTGTTGTTGTGCCCTTAGACGAGACACTCACCTTGCCTGGTATTAGTGTGGTTGTGCGACTGGTGTTTGTAGGGGCTGATGGTGCAGATTGACAGCCTTGTTTAAATCGGGCTCTGCTGTGACTTCAAGAGCTGTTTACCACCTCAGAGTGTGGAGTGAATGAATAATGCACTGTAAAGAGCTTCGGCTGTCTTAAAAGGCGCTATGTAAATGCTATAAATTATTCATAATAATGTAAAGGTTTACTGGTTTTACTGATTTGACGCTTGGATATGTACTTTACAGTCCTAACCCCTCTTCTTAGCCTGTATCTGCACCACAACGTTTAACACAAATTGAACTAAACTAACTTTTTCACCTCCACATTCCCTCAGGACTTGAGCGCTTTTAACATCACGGTAATGGAGTCTGATAGTTGTGAGAAGTGCAATCGCTTAAAATCTTCACATTTTCTCCACACGCGAAGTTGAGTAAGACAGTCGACGCAAACGCTGGAGTTTGACTGACACTTTGTAGCCTGCAGATTCATATGTTCTTAGATCTAACCCGTGTTTTGTAGCAAGCGCTTCCTAAGGTCATCCAAAAGTTTTCGTCGGACTTCCAAACGTTGAGCTTTTGATGAGAGATGATTTGAGAAAGCGGTGATCAAAGCAGCTTTTGAAGAAGACATTTGATTGCAGAAGATGGCGGATATTTATTTTTCTTTCGCTCCTATGTTTAGTATTCAGAGCCAGGTGTAATCTAGAGGAGTTGCGTCAGATCTGTGGACTAGTGGTTAAGTCTCATTACGTCTAATCAAGGGCAAATGCTCCTCTAAGTTCCCCAGCTGTATTGATCCCTGCTCTGGGCATGAATGAAGAGAGGAGGTTTTATCAATCGAACGCTAAAGCTAAAGACGAACTGACATCCATATCACTGCCCTCTCAGTAATGTCAAATTACAAGTACGATTTGTCATGTTTTGAATCGAGATGAAAGAAATATTATAAAACTTGAGAAATTATTAAACATGCTATGATATTCAGTATGGCATTAATGGTTCAAACTTTGTACTAATTGCTAATCTGATCATTTGCTTTCTTGTCAAGGTGATAGTAAACTGTTGTAAATGTTGTTGAGGTGACCAAAATGCAAAAAAAGTAATAATGATGTACAAGAAATAGTGAAGTTAAGAGTAGAATTTCTGTTATTTTGAAAATCAAGTCTAAATTAAAAAGAGAGATTTAAAGTTATATAGCTGCTAAGTACTCTCTCATAGGATATGTTATTATCAGTATTACTAAGAAAAAGGCTTGATACACAACACAACAGAATGGCATGTATAGTGGAAGCTGGAATCGCACCAACAACCTGTGAGTCAATGAATCTGGCCACTGTACCACTCTACCAATAGTAGTGGTTTCTTTAAATCATGTGCTCTCATCCTACTTGATGATATGCCTGTAGGTACAGTACTAAAACTAGGAAAGGTCAAGTTTTGACACGTTTATGTTTACCTTTTTCCTGTATTGATACTTGTTCAAATAAGAATCTAGTTTTGATCCAAGTTCAACAGTGACAGTGTTTCCCATAGATTGTTTTAAGACTATGATGGCACAATGTTTTTAATTGAATAATTTGATCTTATCCAATGTGTGGAATATAACTTACTGCTTATTTATACA